GACTTGGGGGCGGGACAACGATTCTGATTGGATAACCTTTCACTTAGAACTGTCAAATCGAGTTTGATGAAAGCTGGTATCTATAATGTGTGTAAGGCAACTATATTGGATACAGAATAAGGTGGGAGTAAGGTGGGACAGAAGCACGGTGAGAGCAAGTAATAATTAGTAGAATCAAAACTTGACACAGTAATCACAATAGTACACTGTTATAGGAAAACACTGTACAGGATATTGTGATCTTCATCAAGAAGCAGAAACAAAAAATCATTGTCATTTCATGTAAGAGGTATTCAGAGGAAAGGGTAGATATGTTTACTCAGTTTAAGGAACTGGGGTTAGTAGATGTAAATTTAAAAGTATAGCAGAATTCGGCAGAAGTGGAAGAGGGAGAAGAGTTGCTAGATTTCCTGAGGGTAATGTAACAGGACTCGAATAGATTTTAAAATAATTGAACGGTGACACAGACTACGGACACGAGATGGCAGTAATGCAACATTAGGATGCCAACTGCCGTAAAACACCAGAGAAGAAGAGCATTGCTGTGATTGGCAAAGTACCACGTGATTAAAATCGTCATACCCGGAAGAATGACAAATGTTGATTGTTGCTAACGTTCCAGGTAAGTTGAGTTCATTTGTTAAAAATCTGTTAATAATATGTACTTTTGTACAGTATGCTTTGTCTATTTGTACAGTTTGGTCTATTTGTACAGCTTGGTCTTGGTAGCTAGACTTTAGCCGTAGCCGTGCCTTTGGTATATATAATCCGGTGAATAACATCAATATGTATGAGCTTTTGTAATAGAAAATGAACGTTCTTATTGTGCACCTTATCAGTATTTTGAGTTGAGGGTTATTTTATCAAACATTAATTTATATGAGGAAACGTTTGAGTCTGATTGTGCTCGACGTTGCTCACTACTTAAACTTTAGTTTCTAAGAAAAACATTTATTTCTCTTAGTAGACCTTTTACGTATCTCCGTGACTTTCAACAGTTTTAACTTCATAGAAAGGTCCTGGCCCAGGGCCCCTTGGCTTGTGTCTTGTGGGTCCTGTTTAGTAATGGATACATACAGTATGTCCAGGTCATGTTAACAAATTTTTACTGTTATATGCAACTGTGTACTGTTTACATTCTCAGTTTGCACATGCATATATGCACATTGACTGTTGACTGCTGCACATACATGTAGCATACATTCTCTTATTATATTCTCATATACTTTTATTATTTCTCTGCATTTGCTGCTTAAAGCGCCTTAGATTTTACTTATTCGTCTACTTTATATTTCATTTGTATTTTGTGGCATTCATGTGGACGGGAAAGTAAGAATTTCATTGTACAGGGAAACACGTTTCCTAACTGTGCATATGACAAACACTTTGACTTTGAACTGGGAAATACAAACAAAAATGTGATAAAATGTCGGTAGGTCCAATTGTTTCCTGTCATCGATGGGTATGACTGTGAAAAGGATATTAAAAGAGTCTTTAAGACTTAAATTTAATCAGTGGAACACAGCAGAAACCCTGATTAATGAAGAAGTAATACGTTTAAGAGAAGGGGTGAGTTTGTCAGAGCAGCAGCTTTTCTTCTGATATTTATTTAGTCATTAGTCGTAAGGGTCTGCCAGATCTCTCATCTGTGTTTTACACCTTCCATGCATGCCAGGTATCTTAATGCAAAGAGGACAATACCAAAATGGCATCCTACTTTGATGAACATGACTGCGAGCCCACCAACCCTGAGGAACAGTATCGCCAGAATGCACTACTGGAGCTGGCCAGGTGAGGCTAAACACATTTCAGGGACAAAACACTGCTTTAGATTGATCATCTGGTTGACTGTTGGTATTTGTGTATAGGTCTTTAATGCAGGGCCTGGACCTGTTTGACTCAGGGGCATATGACTTGTCAGACTGGGACCACCGTCTTCCTCCTCCAGCTGCCAAAACCGCTGTTCAGACCCTCACTGTGGTCATCATTTCTCCAGAGCAAGCAGGTGACAGATGTTTGCTCCATGTGTCTTACATCCATAATTTTTGGTTAGAATATAGAGGAAGACATTAATGCTTACAGACAGGCTGAGAGAAAACTGGTAAACCACTGATTTCATTGAAAAAAACGTAGAAAAAAAATCATCTGGACTTGGTTTTATGTAGAAGACGTTTAACCTTTCATCCAAGAGGCTTCAACAGCTCTGTCTGACTTGTGGTGAACAGGAGGTATTTATCCCCCCTGGGTGGTGTTACAGTCCTTCGACAACAACAAGTCTTTGTGAGGGTTCAAAGACGGGTAACAAGGCTCACCAGGGCCCCTTGGCTTGTGTCTTGTGGGTCCTGTTTAGTAATGGATACATACAGTATGTCCAGGTCATGTTAACAAATTTTTACTGTTATATGCAACTGTGTACTGTTTACATTCTCAGTTTGCACATGCATATATGCACATTGACTGTTGACTGCTGCACATACATGTAGCATACATTCTCTTATTATATTCTCATATACTTTTATTATTTCTCTGCATTTGCTGCTTAAAGCGCCTTAGATTTTACTTATTCGTCTACTTTATATTTCATTTGTATTTTGTGGCATTCATGTGGACGGGAAAGTAAGAATTTCATTGTACAGGGAAACACGTTTCCTAACTGTGCATATGACAAACACTTTGACTTTGAACTGGGAAATACAAACAAAAATGTGATAAAATGTCGGTAGGTCCAATTGTTTCCTGTCATCGATGGGTATGACTGTGAAAAGGATATTAAAAGAGTCTTTAAGACTTAAATTTAATCAGTGGAACACAGCAGAAACCCTGATTAATGAAGAAGTAATACGTTTAAGAGAAGGGGTGAGTTTGTCAGAGCAGCAGCTTTTCTTCTGATATTTATTTAGTCATTAGTCGTAAGGGTCTGCCAGATCTCTCATCTGTGTTTTACACCTTCCATGCATGCCAGGTATCTTAATGCAAAGAGGACAATACCAAAATGGCATCCTACTTTGATGAACATGACTGCGAGCCCACCAACCCTGAGGAACAGTATCGCCAGAATGCACTACTGGAGCTGGCCAGGTGAGGCTAAACACATTTCAGGGACAAAACACTGCTTTAGATTGATCATCTGGTTGACTGTTGGTATTTGTGTATAGGTCTTTAATGCAGGGCCTGGACCTGTTTGACTCAGGGGCATATGACTTGTCAGACTGGGACCACCGTCTTCCTCCTCCAGCTGCCAAAACCGCTGTTCAGACCCTCACTGTGGTCATCATTTCTCCAGAGCAAGCAGGTGACAGATGTTTGCTCCATGTGTCTTACATCCATAATTTTTGGTTAGAATATAGAGGAAGACATTAATGCTTACAGACAGGCTGAGAGAAAACTGGTAAACCACTGATTTCATTGAAAAAAACGTAGAAAAAAAATCATCTGGACTTGGTTTTATGTAGAAGACGTTTAACCTTTCATCCAAGAGGCTTCAACAGCTCTGTCTGACTTGTGGTGAACAGGAGGTATTTATCCCCCCTGGGTGGTGTTACAGTCCTTCGACAACAACAAGTCTTTGTGAGGGTTCAAAGACGGGTAACAAGGCTCACCAGTACCAGACTATAACGACTCAGTTGTTAGAGGACATTGTTGGCCACCAAAGGACTGGAACCGCAACATATCAGTCATTAGGGGACATTGTTGGCTGTCGAAGGACTGAAACACCACCCAGTGGGATAAATACCTCCTGCTCACCACCGGTCAGACAGAACTCATTAAGCCTCTTGGATGAGAGGTTAAACGTCTTCTACCTAAAACCAAGTCCAGATGATTTTTTTTCTACCTTTTTTCAGCTTACTATGACCTGGATGGCTGAGAATTTGCACAGACAGATTTCATTGTGTGAATGTGAGGCATGCTGTTGTAGGAAAAGCATACTTTGCGAGCTTTTCCTAGGTTAATAACTTTAGAAGGATTTAATCAGGTACGTTTCCTCACAGACAAAGGTCTCAAGTGTCCTGTGTGTTTGTTGGAGTTCGAGGAACAAGAAACTGTTCGAGAAATGCCTTGCAAACACCTTTTCCACTCAGGATGCATCCTGCCCTGGTTGGGCAAGGTAAAG